TTTGTCCCATTCACCAGCAACCACTTCCACTCAACACTGCTGAAGGACGTGCACGTGACCAACGGCAACGGCTCACTGTCGGTGTCGGTGGAGCAGCTCCGCTTGCACCCGCAGTACTCCATCTTCCGGACCATTCGCTTTCCCGACTACGACATGGCGCTGGTGCAGACCGCCCAGGTGCTGGACGGATGGACGCTGGCGCACAGCTCAATCTGCCTGCCGGCGGCGAAACTGGACGCGGAGATCACCTGCTTCATTGGCGGCACCGGCGGCGGCGGTGAGTTTGGCGGACAGAACAACGACGTCGCCTTTGAGGTGAAGGAAATGAGCCACTGCAATGCCAGCCAGCACTACAACGGCATCATCACGGAGCGGACGTTCTGCGCGGAGAGAAGTACCGGCAGAGAGGAGCCCAGCGCCTGTTTGCCGCCCTACTTGCCGCTGCTCTGTCTGACGAGGTTAGTAATACCATTTCCTGCTGCTGAAATTTGAGCTTTCTCAATTAGCCCAGTTAATTTGTTGTTTAGCTTTCTCTCTCTTTCTCTCTCATGTTAATTGGCTAGTTAATAATTTAAAGTAATTTGTTTTTTTCATCAACGCCACCACCCTTTTAATCACACACACACGCACATCTGACAGCAAATCCCAGTGGTACCTCTCCGGTTTCATCTCCTACCAGCGCGGCTGCCACGAGCTGACCAGCCTAACGAATCCGGAGAAGCTGCCAAACTTTCGTGGCTACTTCAAGCACCCCACCGTCTTCTCAAACTTCTTCATCATGAGGGACTTTATCGAGCACACGCTCGGCTTGGGCACGTACATGAAGTCGCGTCCTAAACTGGAGCCCTTTTCTTCGGTTGACAATGGCAGCTTTATTCCAACCTTAATGCCTCCTATTGAGTCTGTCGGTGGACAGCACTCACAAGTTGGGGGCATCTATGCTAATTACCGAGCGGCGTACGTTCGCAGGGACGAGGAGACGGTGGTCGCTGCTGGTCCTGAGCCTCCACCACAATTGGTGACGCCTGATGCTCGACTGCAGAAGAGTTTAAATCTCTCGTCGCCGGATATGAAATCTGAAAACATTACCGAGTCCATTTCAAAGATGATCGAGCTGAGTCCGGGTTCAGCGGTGGAAGCAGCTGCTGCAGCTCCTCTGGGCAATGGAACGACAGCAACGACGACGACTATTCCCACTACGACAATAACTTCTAATATTTCAGATATAACAATTCCAATTACCACTACAATAGCCCCCAGCTTTGCAGAGGAAATTCTCACCACTATCGCCACTGACACTGGCACATTCATTAATTCGTCTAAAGAAAACAATAGCAGCAGCATTGAGCTAGATGAGAAGCCTCTAGAAGTGGAAGATTCCTCTCACTTCTCAAACGAAACCAAGTCAGAGGCCTCTGAAACTCTCATCGATGCGAATGACATGGTCATCGAGGGATCCGGCTTTGCACCGGAAACACCGGAGCCTCTTGCCAAGGATGTTGCACAGCAACCAACGTTGGCATCCATGCTAGGAGACGAGCTGACGACTCAAAGTGACAGTGCGTTGGCTGACAACTCTAATGCGCAAATCGAAGAGACAACACCAGCGACAACTACAGTTTTGCCTTTTTTGAATTCAGCTGATGAGGTGTTTATCACAACGACTACCCCCACAATATTCAGTTCACCACCTGAGCTGAATGAAAGTTTGCCGGATCAGTTCACCACCACCACCTTGCCTACTACCACCTCGGCAGAGGAAATTGAAACGACCGAGAGTGTTTTCACTTTGAAAGGAAATGCCACCAATTCAAGCCACTCGTCTCCAACTGTTACCACTTTTATGCCTGAAAAAAGGAGCAACGTTTTTCGCGTTGAGGACGCCAGCAATTCAACTGTGGTTTAGCAGTTTTTTCCCATTCATTCCTCTGCCAGTTTGTAAAAAGGTATTTTTTATTTCAAACTTTTNCCGCGTTGAGGACGCCAGCAATTCAACTGGGGTTTAGCAGTTTTTTTCCCATTCATTCCTCTGCCAGTTTGTAAAAAGGTATTTTTTATTTNGAGAGTGTTTTTACTTTGAAAGGAAATGCCACCAATTCAAGCCACTCGTCTCCAACTGTTACCACTTTTATGCCTGAAAAAAGGAGCAACGTTTTTCGCGTTGAGGACGCCAGCAATTCAACTGTGGTTTAGCAGTTTTTTCCCATTCATTCCTCTGCCAGTTTGTAAAAAGGTATTTTTTATTTCAAACTTTTAATATAAAGCTGTCTTTATATACCTTTTTTGATAAAAAATAGATCTTTTTAATATATTTTACTTTATTAAATGTTTTTATTATCATCGCTAAACTTTGAATTTAGCTCCGGATTGTGGTATCTTTTTATTTTTATACTTTTTATATTTTTTAATATAATCTTGATGATCATGATTTAGCCAAACAACAAATAAAATTATTAACCTTTGTAGTTGTACTATCCCTTCTGCCTATGAGGCATTTCTCTGCCATTTCTTTTTGATTACACACAGACTGCCCTTCTCTGCTGCTGCTGCTGATTGCAGTACTTATTATCGATATTAAATTTTAAAGTGGCACATCTTTAAATCCGCTCTCTTATATAAAATGTACCAATGTTCCCTTTACTAGTTAGCTTTGTTTGTCTTCATTCTTTTTCTCCAGTTTCTCCAGTTTGAGCAAAGAGAAAGAGAAAAGAATGAAGTCAACTACTAGCACCAGCAGCAACTTTCCGCTGTTGACTTTGGCAATATTTGCCACCGTACTTCTCCTCCAGCCAAGTCCACTGTTTGCCAAGTTTCACGACCGCAAGATTTTTGTCTCCAAGTTCGGCAGCCAAACAAAGTCGCTCACCGATCTGCAGCATGTCCGAGCGGCCGTCCGCAGCTCTGCACTCGCCTCATTAGGCGACATTCCGCAATCAGTGAAGGCCGATCTGGTGGCCCACGCCGAGGGGGAGATGAAGCAGGGCAGAGGCTACGTCGCCCTCACTGCTCACGACTTTATGGAGTTCTTCCGCAATGGCAACCGCATGCACAACCAGGACAAGCTGCACAGTCGGCGGGAGCGCATTTCCGTCCTCCTCATTGGCCACCTGTTAGACCGGGAGACGCACCCGGGCAGCACCAAGTACGTCGATGAGATCGTCAACGGCGTGTGGATGCTCCTCGAGGAGTCCACCTGGTGCTACCCGGCGCATCTCAGTCTGCAGGGCACCCACGACCACCTGCCCGATCCCGACCACGTGGCGGTGGACCTGAACGCCGGCGAGGTGGCCAAGTTTCTCGCCTGGGTGAAGTTGTTGATGCATGAGCAGTTTGACAAGGTCTCTCCGGTGGTCAATCGGCGCATCGACCACGAGCTGCAGCGGCGAATCTTTGACGCCTACCTGCGGGTGAACTTTGGCTGGGAGGGCTTCGGCGGCCACCACAACGTCAACAACTGGAACATCTGGGTCAATGGGAACATTCTGAAGGCGGCCATCTTCACGCTGGACAACCACTCGCTCTTCACCAAAGTGCTCAACAAGACGCTTCATTCGGCGGACTACTTTCTTGATGGTTACGGAGAGGATGGTTAGTTTGGAAAACAGAAAAGAGTAGGGTTTTTTATGTTTGTTTTTAATCACCCCCAAGGTGGCTGCGACGAGGGCCCCGCCTACTGGCGCCAGGCCGGCGGTCGGCTGATTGAGTTTCTCGAGTCAATGGACCAGCTGTTTCCCGAGGCGAAGCAGTACTTTGCCTCGCACAAGCTAATTCACCTCATCGGCGAGTACTCCTACAAGATGCGCATCACCGGCAACTGGTTCGTCAACTTTGCCGACGCCATTCCGCTGCTCACCTACCCGCCCAGTCTGCTGTACAAGTACGGGCAGCTGTTTGAGGATCAGGTGATGAAGCAGTACGCCGCCTTCATGATGACCTACGTGGGCAAGGGCTCTACCAAGGAGCAGTTTCTCCGCTCAATGATTGACGGAGCCATGGGCGGCGACCTCAACGAGTTCTGGAACTTTGTCATCACCCGGAAGGGCATTGAAGCGGAGAAGGCAGAGGCGCCAGAGTCGGACCTCGTCTGGCTGCCCGACATTCAGGTGTTCAATGTTCGCTCGAGGAAGACCGTCGCGGAGAAGGCGAGATTCTTTCTGGCCGGCAAGGCGGGCAGCAATCGTAAGTATAACGTGGCTCATAAAGTTTGCTTTGTGTTGTAAAATTTTCTTTTTTTTCGTAGACGAAAGCCACAACCACAACGACGTGGGCAGCTTCATCCTCTTCCAGGGCGGCCATCCGGTGCTGATCGACATCGGCGTGGGCACCTACACGGCGCAGACCTTCAACTCGCACCGCTACGAGCTCTTCTACATGCAGTCACAGTACCACAACTGTCCGGACATCAACGGCGTCCAGCAGCAGGCAGGCGGCGCCTTCACCGCCCACAACGCCTCACTCGTGCACAGCAGCGCTTCGGTGCACTTCAGCGCCGACATTGCCGGTGCCTACCCAAAGGAGGCCCACGTCAAACACTGGACCCGGTCGCTGGCCTTTGACCTGGCCGCCAATAGCATCACCCTTGAGGACAAGTACTCCCTGGAGAAGCACCTGCACCCGCAGGCGGTGCACTTTATCACGCCGCACGGCGTGAAGATCACCAAGACGGCCGCCGGCCTACATCTGACCGGTGAGCAGATCAACGTTCAGATGGCCGTCGACTGGAAGG